ACAAATGCACACAATTGTGAGAGAGAGAGAGAAAGAATGGGAGAGAAGGGAAAGAGCACTTGAATGGGCAGCTTATTTTTCGTTGATGTTATCGTACTGCACAATTCCACCTTACTGCTTCCGATGGATTCCATGTTAGGCAAACCCAAATTGTTGATTGTATTTGCATCAAAATTTTCTATGGGTTCTAACTTAAAACGACCTTGCAGCTCCACTAGATTCTCTCAAAAAAGCTATGACGGTTCAGATGACACAGGTGATGCGTAGGTTACTTTTTCCAACAATGGGCAACCTCTAGCACATAAGTAGGACTCTATGAAGGGTAGCCCTGCAAGTGTTTTTAGCTCTTTACACCATGATATGTCCAACGTATGGAGACTATTAAGACTTCAGACACGGTCTGGTAGGTTTCGAGTTGGATTGGCGCTTAGATTTAGCTACCGCAACAAGGGTAAGTCTTTAAAACTCTTAGGAAAAACACCATCATGTAGATTGCATCCTGCAACAGTTAAGTTTACCAATGAAGGTGGAAGCAATAGGGTTGGACTGTATTCCACAGGGCGTTTGGTTGGAAATAAGTTGAATGGGTTGACCAGTTCTACTCCATTACCTCAAAATACTTTAAGGGAATGCGTCCCTCTTAGATATGGACACTCCTCAAGATTTAAGCAACCAGAAATATTTAATGTTTCAAGAGATCTAGGTATGTCAAAAGTGCTTGGAAACTTCTTTAGATTTTCACAATTTTTCAGATTCAGGAAAACAAATCTCGGAAATCTTGAAATTGATTCATGAACTTCAACCAATTTTGCACAATCACTTAGGATCAATCTCTCAAGACTAGGCAACCCCAAGAAATTGGGGGTTGTAGTGAGGTCATGGCAATGCCCGAGGTCAAGGATTTTTAAGAACCTAAGAATCCGTTAAAAGATCAACAAAGAGGAAAGTTGATATCAGAGACAGGCAAATGATAACTCCCACCCCAAAGAAACAAAGTGCAAAAAAAGGAGGGCAATGGTGGATGAGTAGCTTACCTTGACTCCCATCCATACAAGTTCTAAGCTACTATTACGCATGTCAGTGACAGCCAAGTTCCCCGTGGTGGGTGGCGACGATGGGGGGTGGTGGTGTAGTGGGTGATGGTGATGGTGGATTATGGCAGCGATGTTGGGTGGTTGATTAATTTTTTACTGTTTTGGTGGTGGAATAGTTTTTTGCTGTTTTTTGTGGTGAGTGATGGTGGTGATGGCATTAGGTGGCAGTGGTGATGGCAATGGGTGATCGTGGGCTAGTTTTTCATTATTTTGGGTAGTGGTAGTAGATGTGGGGTGATGGTGGTGGATGTTAGGCTAAGTTTTTACTATTCTAATCTTAACTCAAATCAAATCTTCATTTTTTCATTTAAAATTCCGATCTCCTTCCAACAATCCATTTCTTTCATTTTTTCATTCAATTGTTTTCCTAATTTCTTTTTCTATTTCTCTTCCCTCCAAAACCTTCAATTGAATTATCCCTTCGCTCTCATATTTCTTCCGCTCCCTATTGTTGTCACATTGTAACTCGTCCCTCCTGTTGTCACATTCCACTTCCTCGTCTAACCTCTTCCTCTCACGAGAACTAAAATAGAAAAATCGCAGAAAAAAACTAATTTAATTGACCACCAATTCCACAAGTATGAAAGCACACACACGTGTCAATCTATCAAACTTTACAAGAAATTAAAATTTTAATTTATAGAAACATAACAATTGTCCAAATTTATTCAAATTTATTCTACTTTAATCTAATAGTACAATATTCATCTTAATTTTTTTTCCCCACTCAAAAACTCATTTTCTCTTCATGAACTCCAATGTCATACAATTCAATCACCAAACAATTCCACCAATATATACCTATTAGTTTTGACAAAAAGAAGGCCCACAATCATCTCAATCTGTAATAGGTCGGCCCAACTCATGGCCCACTAGGATATTAGGCTTTCACGCCTGTCCATGGGCCACTGATGAACTTTTTTGTTGGTGCTATGAACACTGCAAGAATCACTTGCACTTTTTTTTTTTTTTTTTTTTTAAGGTAATTTGGAAATTGGTACAAAAATTTAGACTTATTTGAGGTAAATTATATTAAGGAAACTTATTTGACTCTAATTACATTTTTTTGGAAAAAAGACTAAAAGATCATTTATTACTCAATTACTCTCTCTCCCCCTTTCTCCATTATTCTCTCACTCTTTTTTCCTTATTCTCTCTCTGTTCCTTATTTTCTTTTTCTCTCCTCATTGATAATTTATTTTATTTTTTTCATATGTAATGATTTAATTTAATTTTTTCATCTCTCTTCCCTATTTTTTCTCTCTCACTCCCTCTCCTCATATCTCCTTATTCTCTTTCCTTATATCGATGTTATAAAAATATAATTACACTAATCAGTTACACCAATTAGTTATAATTATCCTATAATACACGAAACAGTTACTCATGTGTTATAATAAACCAAACAGTTACGCTAAACAATTATACAAAATTACAACGTCAACTCAATTTGTCATTTAATTATTTATAAAAATCAAAAAGTTAAACTATTTAGTATCACGACATAGTTACACTAATTAAATATATCAAATTGCGTTTATCATTACACAAAAGACTTTACCATTATACTAAATTTGGTATACATAATTAGTATAACGATATCGCGATACTAAATGGTACAACTATTTAGTTTATATAAATAAATGAATGACATATTGAGTTGATGTTATAATTTTGTGTAATTGTTTGGTGTAACTGTTAGGTTTATAATAAGACAATTGTAACTAATTTGTGTAATTATGTTATTATAATGTTGATATAAATAGAGAAAGAAAATAACGAGAGAGAAACAATTAGAAAAATAACAGGAAAGAGAGATAATAGGGGGAGAGGGATGAAAAAATAAATTAAATCTTTACATACTTGAAAAATAAAATAAATTATTAATAATAGATAGAGAGATAAAATAAAGGAGAGATAGGGGAAAGTAACCGGGGGAGAGAGAGAAAGAGATATAAAGAGAAAATAGGAGAGAGATAGTCAGAATTGGGACGGTGGCCTGAAATGACCACAATCATTAAGTCCCCAAATTATATCTCAATAGCATTGTTCAAAATCTTTACATATTTGATTGAATATATAACTATCAATTAAAAATGCATAATTTAAGGGAGGTTATTTAGATAAAAAAAAATTTTGATTTCACTTAAATTTTGCACCTAAACACAATATATTTTATTAAAATTAAACTTAATGGAATAAACAACTTTTTCATACACTTTTTTCTCAAATAAGTCTAAAAAATTATATCTAGTCCCAAAAACCTCTTCCTTTTTTTTTTAATTCTTTCACTATCGAGTCGGATTATGGCTCTTTAGCGACTGAGAAGTGCTAAGGGGTGCGATGACCTATAACGAAAATTGGTGGTGGAAGGAGATCCAAAATGGATCCATCCGTTGCTTAAAACAACACGTTATTTAAGGGAATTTCATACTTTCCGAACTCAAATTGCGTATTGTTACGTCATGTTAGAGCTTTTATAATTTTATCCCAACGATTGATTGATGAGGATTGATGTTCGCTAATCGCTAAATTAAGACTAGGTCCTAATATTTATCTATCGATTTAATCCTTATGTACCCACCACTTGGACTTTCCCCTCCATGATTTATTTACATTATCCTTCTCTAGTTTTAAATCGGGAGAGTTAAGGGTTGTTTGTATAATTTTTAAGAGATGAATTAGATTGGATTTATGAAATCCTTTTAACCCCACTCTTTATGTTTTATATATGGTAAGCGACACAACTACACATATGACTTACAGATTAATCACAAAGATATACGTTATGGAATTGACCAAATCCACCCTTGAATTTGTTGAAACACATATACATGAGATTCATATGGGCAAGGATTCAAATTTTAAGCTCGAGATTTAAAATCAAACAAAAAATAAGATGATCTATTAGACTATTTTGAGAAAATTCATCCTATGAATTCCACCCAAACTCATAAAATAAACAATTACAATGGACTAAAGCAAAAGAAGATGAAACTTATAATTATTTTCTAAACTTTGTCTCTAGTCTAATCAGCAGTGCCGGTTCGAACACGTGTTTACCTTTGCAAGTTTGTCCTCCATCAACCGTAATCTTTCTGACACGCAACCACCATGCTCAAGCGGTCATGTAATCGTAAAAAGGACTTTATCAATCAAAGTAGTACGGTGTTGAACATCTTCGATGACGACAAAAAGATGACTATTGTGCAAACGTATCCTGCAACAAAGACAATCAATTTTTTTTAATTTATAAAAATACAGTAATAATTAAAATTGATACATTTTATCTACTTTAAATGTATAGTATAAATTCATTATAAAAAAATTTTTGGGTAAAAAATATTATCTTTGACTTCAATCACGGCCTTTAATTCCATACAATCATACTAATCCATACTTACATCTCTCGTATCTCTCTTACATCTCTTATTTTTTCTGTCTTCACTTTTCATATTAAATAAAAGAAAAATAATTATATTACTATTTAAAGTATAAAAAATATATTATTTTTCATTGATAATACGAGCGATTGAATTTTATTGAATTAAATTCTGTCCAACTTACGAAGGATCCGCCCATGAACTTTTATGTGAAATGTTATGTGAGTATTAATATTTATTAAGATTCATTATCTATTCAATAATTTTGATTAATTTAGTTATCTTCTATTTCACAGTTTTGAATTTCTATTAAATTAATATTGTAAAATATTAAGAAAAATGACACAACAAATGAGGGCACTTGTATATATACATATATATAAGAAAACGCATGTATTACATCTCACACTCTTCTTCTCCTCCTATCATTCTCTCTAAAAATTAGTTCAGATGGCAGAGAAAAGCAAAATTTTAGTGATCGGAGGGACTGGTTATATCGGAAAATTCTTGGTGGAGGAAAGTGCAAAAACTGGGCACCCAACTTTTGCACTGGTCAGGGAAAGCACNCGGGAGTACCCATCCAAGAAACAATAGAACAGGTGTCCAACTACTCTTTCCAATACTTGATCAAGAAATGGCAAAGGGAAGTGATCCTTTCTTGTGCAACAGTTGAGCTTCCAATAGTCCATACACATTCTCCATCTGATGATCACCCTAGTCGGAATCAACTCATTATCATTATTTGCTACAACAGTGACCCCTAATTTTTTTGGTACCACTTGAGTGGGACTCACCCATTTACTATCGGCAATTGGGAAGATGATGCCCACATCAAGTAGTTTGAGTACCTCGTCNCTTTTTTTATGATTTTTTTTCAAGGTGCAACAACTATTCTGATCATGAGACGCGGATTATTTTTTCGCAGGGAGATATCTACAATCATGAGCGCTTGGTCAGCTTAATCAAGCAAGTTGATGTGGTGATCTCTGCGGTCGCGGGAAGACAGAGTGCCGATCAAGTGAACATCATTGCAGCCATTAAAGAAGCTGGAAACATCAAGGCAAGTAATTTGGCCATTGAATATCTTCAATTCTCAACACATCCTCTGTTACAAAAGTAGGCAAACAATGTTGTTTTGTTAAATAGAACGACGGCCTCTGGAGCCAAATCCTCCTCTGTTATTTTCTATGGTAAAAGTTTCTAACGGTATAACATGTTGAGTTTCAGAGATTTCTACCTTCAGAATTCGGATTCAACGTGGACAAGACCCATGCGGTTGAGCCAGCCGCAAGCGTGTTTAAGACCAAGACTCAGATTCGAAGGACTATCGAGGCTGAGGGAATTCCTTACACTTACGTGGCGTGCAACGCTCTTGCTGCCTACTTTCTTCCCAACCTTGGACAATTGGATGATGCCACTTCTCCTCCTAGAGACAAAGTAGTAATTCTTGGAGATGGAAATTCCAAAGGTAATTAAAAAAATAAAAGAATCGATTGAAACAGAGAAGTAGACAATAAATTATAGATTGAAACAGATAGGTAGACAGTAATGATCCGATGAAAAAAATCACTAAGAAACTTTAGTTTTTGATAGTGGAATCGATTGAAACAGATAAGTGGACAGTAAACAATTGGTTTTAGATGGATTAACTTATTTTGTTCTCTATCTTCAAGCAATTTTTGTGAAGGAGGAAGATGTAGCAACATACACCATCAAAGCTGTGGACGACCCTCGAACCTTGAACAAGCTCCTGTACATGAGTCCCCCTGCCAACATAATGTCCTTCAACGAGTTGGTTTCCCTGTGGGAGAACAAGATTGGCAAGACCCTTGAGAGGACATATATCCTGGAGGATCAACTCCTCAAGAACATCGAAGGTGAGTAACAACTATTCTGCCAATCCTAATCGTACTTCCATGTCAATTTTCCTCTGTTATATATCATTCCAATTAAGTTTTGCGATAATTTTTGACGAATTGGAGTTGATGGTAGTCGGAAATAGGCTCATATAAATCATACCTGATCATCTTCTTACTGGTTTTGGTGCAGAGGCTCCAATGCCCTTAAAGTTCCTTTTGTCCATCTGCTATGCTGCTTTCGTAAAAGGAGATGTTTCAAAGATTGAGGTTGATGCTTCTGTGAGTGTAGAGGCCTCTCAGCTCTATCCAGAGGTGAAATACACAACTGTGGACGAATTCCTCAATCAGTTCGTCTAAGATCCAGCACGGAGACTCAATTCTCTGCCTTTGCTTCAGCTTTAATAATCTTAATAAATCTTCTGTGTAAAATGCTGTACTTCATAGTTTTTTGTATTGAAACAATGAATTTTGAATCTTGTGTTTAAGCAAATATGAAACAACATCAAACAACCAGACTCGTGCTTCGAAACAAGGACTACACTTTTCCAAAAGGATTTGACTGCTCAAGATCATAATTGAATAGACAAATAGTACTAGATAAATCATATGCCAAAATTACTTTTACACCTTATATATTATATGGTCAATAATATTTTTAGTTCATAAAGATGTATTTTTTATTAATTTAGTTCTCATTGTATTAATTTTGTCAATTTGATATCTAAAATATTCAATTCGTGTTATTTTGGTTTCTAATCAAACAATACATCAAGTCTTTTAACGGAAGTGACCACATGAATCAGACAGTCCATCAAGTTTTTTAGCGGAAGTAATCACGTGTAATTTTTTTTAGATGATATCACGTACTTAACTCGTGATCATTCTGTCAAAAATTTAACAATCTATCTATGTAGAGACCAAAATGACACGAATTGAATACTTTATACACTAAATTGACAAAATTGATTTAATAAGGACTAAATTAAATAAAGAATGCATATTTTAGCAATTAAAACTACAATTAACCCTTTATTATTTATTTTATTTCTAAAACATATCGAACTCTTTCACTCTGTTCTCTTTACATGCATCAAGTAAAGTGTAGAACTCGTTCACTACATGGGGGTAAAAACTTATTTAGCCTTAATATCCTATTACAACTTACAAAGACCACCCACATTTTCATCATCCTAAAATAATGCCAAGGAACCCTGAGTCTGTATGTGTTTTAATTTTATAGTCTGGCGGGTGAAGTTGTATTTGTTTAGCTTAAACTGGCAACGCCATCCTGATCACAAGCCAAATCTTTGGCCAGTTTCCGGGCAACATATCCTTCGTCGCTAAATGTATTGCAACTGAAAAACAGTTACTAATGTGTATTTGAAAGCAACGTCAAGGAAAACACTTCAACGTAGATTCTGCTTCCAAATGTGCAATTGTAATCTCATACAAACAATAGTGATGGTTGTAAAAAATTGAGAGGCCTGAGGCGGAGAGTTGGATGAGCTCTTGGTAGATATGTCATGTGTGTGTAAACATGAATGATAATACACAAGAAAATAAGTGGTTCGTCAGCTGAAAAACTTAGTTAATCCATTGTAATGGAAGTTCTTACTCCTTGATTGTATATTATTTTCTTGAAGAAGAAGAGTATAAAAGAATTTTTTTCTTACTTGAGGCCCATTTTTTACATAGTGATTATTGCCTTTATAACAGAATATTAGGATAATATTAGGGAAATATTTAGGGAATATTCAGAAAATATTTTGTGTGACTTATTGCCCAATATATGGTTTGTTGGTGAAAACTTTTTTCTGCCCCTTCTGGTAGTTTCTTTGTTGGTTGTTGCCTCCTAAATATTTTTCGATATCATCAGTTGCCCCCCCAACCCCGAGCAAGGACTGACTTGAGTTGTCCATTAGTTGGGGCTGAGCATTTCAAATCGAACCGAGATTGCTCTGGAGTTTGAGGGGTTTGTCGAAGAAGCTCTACGAGTTCTAAAAATCTTGTTCTGTTTTGGACTTAGGCAAGTTGAGCTAACTTCTTCTTTTAGGCTGAGGAGCCAAGCCGGGCTTACTAGCTTTAGAGCTGAGGAATCTTCTAAGGAGTTTATGATTGGTGGATCAACCCCAATTGTTGTGGTTGAGGAGTCCAAACTTTGTACTTTAGAGTGAGCCTTGGGCTTATTGTCAGTCGAGTAAGTCAAAGATGCCAATGTCGAGCTTTGATTGAATGTGACTAATATAATTAATGAGCCTAACAATGCTGAAGCTAAATAGCTTGATCATGTTAAAGTTGAAAAGCTCGAGGCTAAGACTGATAATCCTGACAAAGCTGAGATTTATTATACTAAAGAGATTGGGTTAAAGAGTCAGGTTCTATAGCAATTGATGAGCGAGGCAATATTTTAACTGAAGAGTTAGGTTATACTTCGAGTGAAGACCCATGTCATACCTTGGCTGAAGAGTCAAGTTGTTCCTTGGCTGAAGAGCCAGATGATTCCTTAGCTGAAGAGCAAAGTCGAGCTGAAAGGTCAGGTCGTTCTTTGGCTGAAGAGTCANTTTTTCTGCCCCTTCTGGTAGTTTCTTTGTTGGTTGTTGCCTCCTAAATATTTTTCGATATCATCAGTTGCCCCCCCAACCCCGAGCAAGGACTGACTTGAGTTGTCCATTAGTTGGGGCTGAGCATTTCAAATCGAACCGAGATTGCTCTGGAGTTTGAGGGGTTTGTCGAAGAAGCTCTACGAGTTCTAAAAATCTTGTTCTGTTTTGGACTTAGGCAAGTTGAGCTAACTTCTTCTTTTAGGCTGAGGAGCCAAGCCGGGCTTACTAGCTTTAGAGCTGAGGAATCTTCTAAGGAGTTTATGATTGGTGGATCAACCCCAATTGTTGTGGTTGAGGAGTCCAAACTTTGTACTTTAGAGTGAGCCTTGGGCTTATTGTCAATCGAGTAAGTCAAAGATGCCAATGTCGAGCTTTGATTGAATGTGACTAATATAATTAATGAGCCTAACAATGCTGAAGCTAAATAGCTTGATCATGTTAAAGTTGAAAAGCTCGAGGCTAAGACTGATAATCCTGACAAAGCTGAGATTTATTATACTAAAGAGATTGGGTTAAAGAGTCAGGTTCTATAGCAATTGATGAGCGAGGCAATATTTTAACTGAAGAGTTAGGTTATACTTCGAGTGAAGACCCATGTCATACCTTGGCTGAAGAGTCAAGTTGTTCCTTGGCTGAAGAGCCAGATGATTCCTTAGCTGAATAGCAAAGTTGAGCTGAAAGGTCAGGTCGTTCTTTGGCTGAAGAGTCAGGTCATTCCTTGGCTAAGGAGCCAAGTCGGGCTAAATAACCCCAAATTTTATAAGTAAGACTTTAGCAAATTGTCACAGACCTGATGGGTGATTGTGTCAACAACTATTAATGGTGCTACTTCTTCCTATAGAATTTCTTCTTGGGCATCTGAGAAGACAACCTGAAGTTGCTTGGAGCACACCAAAGTCTATAGTTGGTAAAAACAGAGAGCATGCTTGGTCTTAAGGTGAGCATGATGGACTTGGAGGCCAAAAAAAATATGCCGAAGGAATGACCTGGAATAAATACTATCAAAGAATTTATAATAATTTGGCGAAATCGAGCACTTATCTATGTACGAGGCAAGGTAGATGACGATAATTTCGATCACAATAAAAATTTGAAAATATAGTTTGATCTAGCATTCAATCACAGCCTCAGTGATCTCAAACGAGACAAAGGACCCAATGATCTTGAGAGATTCAACTTTTAAAGTCATACCCTCACAGTAGCAAATAGTTTCAGAATTAATGAAAAGTTTCATGGCCTCTTGCCGAAGGCTGACCAGTCAAAGGGTGTTGTAGGTACAAGACTTTTTGGTTGATTATCTAGATTTTGGCTCATGCTTCTTGAACCATCAGTTAATCGTTAGAGATTTGATTTAGAATGATGAAAATCGTTCTTATAGACGGAGCCAAACTGATGGTTGTAAAAAATTGAAAGGCATGGGGTGGAGAGTTGGATGAGCTCTTGGTGGATGTGTCATGTGTGTGTAAAAATGAACCACAATACAAAAGAAAATAAGTGGTTCACCAGCTAAAAAATTTAGTTAATCCACTGTAATGAAGACTCTTACTCCTTGATTGTATATTACTTTCTTGAAAAAGAAGAGTACAATAAGGGTTTTTCCTTACTTGAGGTCCCCTTTTTACATAGTAATTATTGTCTTTTATAACAGAACTAGTAATTACCCGTACCTAAAGACTTTACATTACTCGTAAAAATATATAAATATTTTTTCATAAATATATAATATAATTTGAACAATATAACGATCAAATTAATATTGCTCAACCTGAATGCAAAACATATATAATCAAACATTTGTATAACGAAAGTCATGCTACAACTACTGCAACATATTAATTCAAAAATTTGAGAAAATATACTTATTATTGGTTAAACATCCACAATTTTAACATTTTTAATAAATTTTATCTCAAATTTCAAAAAAATATAACTATTTGTTTATCTTCAAGTTTCTACCTAAAGTTTATAATATTATCTCTGCGCCATTTTTGTAATTTGAGTTTGTGTAACATTTGTGAGGAAAATATCCAAAAGTTTCACGTGAATTCTTGTAGATGTAAAAAATTTTGTTGAGTAATTAAAATCAATTTTTATATGAGTTCAACTTAAATATTCGTAAAATTCAATCGATTTAAAGTTTGGATGGGACTATTCCCACCCCATTTAATTTATCATTATCAAATTACTAAATTCATTCTTTCTATACACACTCTATTAGTAATTAAGTTCACCTTATGCTACATACACCTCGTTTAATAATTAAACTCATCTTATATTTTGTCATAATTAGGATTTCATTTTTTATTTCATCTCATGCACTCACAAAAATATTTTTTTAATATGAATTTTTTCAGTAAGATACATATTACTATTACTTTTTAATTTAATTCTATATTTGATTTTCTATTTGTTGCATGTATTTTATTATTTTTGGTATATTTTGATATCTATGTCAAGTTTAATAATTTTTTATATTTAGAATTTATATGTGTGTATATATATGTATAATTTTCAGATTATTTGTTATTTTTTTTTATCTTGTTTAAGTTTTATATCTATGCTTTGTTTTTTTTCTTGTTCGATTTTGTATTTATGCTTGATTCTTTTTTTTTCATGTCCAATTTTGTGTCTTGTGGTTTTGCATTTTGTAGTTTTACTTGTTCCTTTAATTTTTGCTTGATTTTTTTTTCCTTCTTGTTTCGGTTTGTTTCTTTTTTTTTTCTTTATTTCATTCTTTTATTTTTAAAAAGGGTGTATGTAACATAAGGTAGGTATAGAAAGGGTAGATTTATTAATTTAATAATGAGAAATTAAATGGAGTGAGAATGGAGATTTGGGGGTGGGAATAACCTCACCCTTTAAGTTTAAGTAAGAATTTATACTTTATATCAGACAGTCAAATTCAACTCAATTTGAGTATTAATCATAATTACGTCAAACAAAAAATTGAATTTAAGTTCGACTCAATTAACACTTCTATCTTAAACCTACAAACTAATTCTTATTTGTTCTCATTCACTGTGATGTCATAATTTTTTTTTTTAATTTAGTCATTCTTTATTATTTTTATAATCAATTTCACTTTGACTTCAACTTGAATACTTGTAAAATAAAAGCAAAGTTAAGTTGAAATAAGAATATATACTTTATACTCGACAATTAAATTTAGTTCAATTTGAATAATAATCATAATCACTTTGAACCGACAATTGAGTAAAATGAAATTTGAAGGAGGAATTTCGATCGTTTGATCAATAATCTTAAAACAATCTGAGCTGCAAAAAATTCAAAACAAATAATGATAGCCCCTTAGTATATAGATGTATCACATTACATATATATTATTCGCCTATTACACCATTCAAATATTATTGTATTTTTATCTCAATACAAAATATGACATATATTATAATCATTTGACTGGTTTTGACACAAAGAATATTTATTTAAGATCCATTTGTTTATTTAAAATTTTTAAAAATAATATTTAATTAAATTATTATTAATGGCCTAATTAATGTGTAATATGAGATAGAGAGAGATAGAAAATTATAAGAAAGATAGGAGCTTTCTTGAAGAAGAAGAATACAATAAGAGTTTTTTCTTACTTGAGGTCCCCTTTTTATATAGTGATCATTGTCTTTTATAACAGAATATTAGAAGAATATTCAAAAAATATTTGGTGTGACTAGTCCAAGGTATAGTTTGACGGTGAAAACCCTTTTCCGACCCTTCTATGGTTTCTTTATTGCTCGTTGCCTCCTATATATTTTTGGGTATCATCAGATAGTACAACCAAGTAAGATCTCTTTATATTGAGCAACTTCTAGGAATTTTTCTCCTCATTCAAGCTTATTTAGAATCACATCTGTAAATAAATCATAGGCCACCACATGTACACGCAAACTTCTTGTACTTACACCGTGAGAAAGATACAGTTCAACTTCAATGAAATATATGTCTTATTTGTTACGATGCTTGCACTTTAACAATTCAAGTGGGGAGGATCTAGTTGAGCTTTTGTCAAAATTAACACGATTTCTTAAACAATTTCAAATCTAACACTGGTGGAAATACTGTCCATTCTAATGCTCTAGTGTCCATGTCATTTGCAATCTAAAAACTTTAACTCCTATTCCCCGAAATATTTTCAAGTTTTTGCAGAAACTAATATTGCATTTCAGAATAGGTTCCAATCACACAATTTTGCAGAAATTACTTTCATCCAATGACAATATCAAAATACACATAGATATATCTACATAATACAATTTACTACTGATTAGTGTTTTTATGATCATAAGTTTCTAAGGACAACAACAAAAGTTATTGGTTTGATCTCTTGCATAGCCATTTCTTCATCCACCAATCTTCCATAATGCTCAAACAAATTGTCCAAGACACCTTCCCCGAAATGGTGGCAAATCATTGATTCTTGGATGGCCCTGACCGTCATTGCAACAGTCATTCCATAGCTCAAACCATGCTCAACATCACTTTCTATTTCAAACATCTCAAACCGGTCCACTTTAAAAGATCCCTCTCTTCTCACTTCATCTTCTAATTCATCTTTGGATGGTGCATAGAAATGAACTTCATAAGAATCAAGTTTTTCCTGCTCAATTTCTCCCTGCATAGCAACAAAATTGTGTGTCGATTCATTAAAATCAAAATATAACTCGATCGTTAAACAATTGCACACTATAACTACCTGAGAAACTAAAATGGCGAAGGATCGAGATAGCAGTTCCCATAAGAATGCATTGCCTCTATCGACGTGATTTGGACCTCTTCTTCCCAACAAGATCAGCACCATTTGTCCTCCACTGATTAGCTCTTTAGATCGCGATCGAAGGAACAAAGGGAAATCCTCTTGGAATTGGCTAAAATATGCTTGGGTGACCTGTGGAGGACTGGATTCGGATATGTAAATGTTGCTTTTGTTTATTGACCTCCCTTGCTCGTCATAAAGAGCTGGAGGCACCTGCAGAACATAGTGATTACTGGCTTATGATCATCAATTTCAGTTACACATAACCACCACTTATTTGGGAAATTGGTGCTTCACATTTTCTCAAAAGCAACGAGGATTCATAATGGACTAAGACCATGTCACTCCAAGAGTCAAAGACAAAAGTAACCAAACAGTCATCTTTCTTTTTTCTTAGTCCAATTTAAACTAATTTAATTTTCATCAATTCATGCCAATTGCGAAAGAATGTGTCATAACTCTTCTTCTTATGTTTTTTTGTTTAGTTCAACGGTGTGTCCAAACCAACTTAGGTACCAAATGTTATGCACAAGGTTTCAATGATTTAGAAAAAATGTGGAAATTTTCTAGAATAGCATTTGTATAGATGATCTCTTTTAAGTACACCCAATTGTTAATAGTGGGTCCTCCCCATATTGACTTATGGTGCTAAGGAAGTCATTTACACCGTGATCTACTTGATTCTAACCTACAATAATGGTAAAGTGGGGAAAGGAAAAACGTATAGGCTTATAATTGCGAGTTGGACTAATTGCGAGTTTTGATATTTAAAAAATATAATGTCAGTCAAACTAAAACAGCGAAAAAACAGTGAATTAAGACAATAAGTTGGGCAACATGATTATTTACAAGAAGCATTATTGCCTTATTGGTGGTAAAAAAGTCATACCCTGGAGAGCCAGTGCAAACTATAGGATGAGTAGATGAAGTGCAAGCACTTGTCTGGAAAAAGTCTTCCATAAAAAGTACCAGGATAACCAGCAACGTACACAGATGGGCCCCCATAGCTTCTTCCTCGCCTCAACCCCTTATAGAAATCTGGCAAAGCCTTAAAGATTGTGTTGAAATCGTTAGTCGGAAGGTCATTTAGGTACACTCGAAACTCCGGTGCCGGTTTTCGCAAGGTTTTACAGCAAGTTCCTTCAATTTTGTCAACAATTGATTGTATGATTGATAAGGTGTTTTGTCCGGAAGAGCAACCCAAGTCTGCTAAGCATAAGGTCTTCGGAGTTGTAGTGAGATAGAGCTCTTGAATCGTCTCTAGTGTTATGTGCTTCACCATGTCAGAGGCCTTCTTCTACCAACAGCAACAAATTCAAAAAAAAAAAAAAAAAAGTAAAACATTAGCTCTACAAACATGAGGACAAGTCCTTGCACGTGTGTGTGTCTGTGTCTCTGTGTGTGTGTGTGTGAGAGAGAGAGAGAGAGAGAGACCTGAAGCGAAGAATTGTTAGCATAGCTGGTCTCGCCAACTCCCCCAGTCATGTGGAAGACTTGTTGTACATCCATGGCGGTGGGAGTTTTTTGAGATTTTGAACTCAACTCTAGCTCTAGGTCTCCTTATAAAGGAATGCCTCCTCCAATGATTTGATATGACTACTTTTTTTGTTTTCTTTCCACTAACTACTATAATTGAAAAAAACAAATTCTATAATTGAAGGCTGTTTTGGTGGGTTAAACAATGCCACCCAAATATATTTTTTTATTTTTGGCTAATCGACAAGTGTAAAGTTCTAATTTTTTTTGTTTTACTTTATTAATTATTTTCGCAACCAATCACTGTAAATATTTCAAAATAAAATTTACTAAAAAATATTAAGATTTTGTACCATTCACTTGTTTTATTTTGACTAGTTAACATGTTGTAATCATTTGATTGGTCTAATGGACAAAAACTCAAATTTTTTTGTTTAATTTTTCATTTTGAGTCTTTATAATTATGTCAACTCAGATGGGGCTAAATTTACTGTGCCTAGAGCACACGGTGAGATCTTAATTTCAAATTGACGTATGTGTTATAAGATTTCTTGCAGATAGTTATATAGTGCTTAAAAACACTATTTTTTTTCTTGTAGATATATAGAATGACATATCTGTATATTTATTTATCTATCAAAAAAATCACGTGGTTGATTACCACACTGTGAACAAGTAGAACCAATCAAAATGGATCACCATGAATAGGACTTGTTATGGTACTAATTAAAAAAATTTGATAGCATACTTCTAAAATTTATTATTTTAAATAGTGTTTGTATAATTTTTATCGGTCAGTTAACAACTTAAAAATTATTATTTTTATACATGATTTATCATTTTTATGAATATTTTTAACAGTAACCTAAATCGAAAACACAAAAATAGTGACCTAAAAGCCATCAACGACTGTTGAGTTTAAGTTAAGTTTGGACACATGTGATTCACTTGTGACTAATCAAATTAGATACTAATGAACTTTAATTTTGAAGTTTTGGCAGTAATTTAACAGCATGTGTGCCAAGTTTCTCAACTGAAATTTCAAAAGTTAACAGTTCAAACTTATAACTATACGAATTTCTTCTCGAGGTTGGAATGGGATCAGATGTTTTTCTGTCTCACCTTAGTGTTCGATTTGTTTAGATTTTCGATTGATGAGTAAAAAAAAAAAAAACTCTTAAAATTTTTTTTTTTTTTTTGGGGGACACAAGTTACTTAGAATTGAGTCATTATCAAAGAAGTTAGGTATTTGATCACATTGTTTTTGTATTCCAATAACAAGAAGACAAAAAACCAAATCAAACATCAATCAAATTCCAACTTATCAGGTTATTTAGCAGCCATAGCCATCCAATCCTTACCAGCTTGGTTGACTTTTTGTGGAAAAAAAAACAAATGATTAGTCCTTTTGGTTTTTTCTTATCATTGGAGCATGCCTACCTAGCTTGACTTAAAGCAATTGACGAAATGATTTTGTGCAGAGTTACTGATCACCTAATGGTATAAAGTTATGGTGTCCAAATTGTCTGTTGGCTATTGTCTGTATAAATTAGATTTTACCAATAGATCTTATTTTAAGTTATTAATGACTCGTGAATGCAACAATAAAAAAAAAAAAAGGTAGATCTTAATAGTGAAATATAATAATGTAGTGGGACCTTACGAGTGGCCCGTTAGTGTCTATTGACTTCTCATTGATTAAAAAACTACCCTTTTTTTCATCAAAAAAAAAAGGATATATTTTTTAGAGTACAAATTATACCTATAAAAAACATATGAAGTTATAAATGACATAGATTATTTACCATCGATCATAATATTTTATTATTAATTATAAATAAGTTTCATATTTAAAATCTATAACTTAACAATTAAAAATAACAACTTTTAGTACGTGCTTAGAATCTCAATTATGGAGTTCTCTATGGTATCAATTTTTTTTTTTATATTATACCTCAATTTATTACAATTATGGATATGTTTATCATTATTATAGATATTTTTATCACTGTTGTGGTACCGAAAAGAATAATAAAAATAACTATTACAACACTGGTAAAAATACTCAAAAATGTGATAAATCACTTACAAAAATAATAATTATTTTTGTATAGAAAAAAATGATAAAAATAATTATCACAAAAGTGATAAAAATATTCATAAATTTAGTAAATCACCTATAAAAATAATAAAATTTTTACTTATAAAATAACTCATAAAAATTATAAAAATATTCATTAATATAATAAATTTTACAAGTATAATATTAATTATTTTTTTTTGGTCGGATACCGTAGGCAAGTCCCTCAATTATCAATCTGCATAGTGGAGCATCAGAGTCAATCAAATCAGGATTACTTTGTCAGATATTCGGAATCTATTTTGCCAAACTTGTTTTCCAATGAAAGCAAAAGCTTCTGACATGTGTCAGCCAAGGGATACCTAAAAAAGAATGGCCCCTTATTTTGGCTTTTTGGAGAGTGCTTGTGATTTGAGACACTGGCACTAAGAGTGTGTGACACAAGAGCCTAATCGAAGGGCATACATACATGTATGTGCTTTTCTACCTAATAATTTTATAATTTACCATTTCTTAAATTATTATTTGGACTCGGCTTTCATTTATAATTTCAAGTCATACTCTCATTGCTTTTAAAATTGGGTTGGATCTCCTTCTATTTTTGTGTTATTTGTGTATTATTTTAGGAGATACCATCAATGATCGACGGGTGATATCATCTAAATTTGTTCAAATGATTACAAATTTTATCTTTTTAAAACCTATAAACTAATTTTTCAATCGGAACCCAATACTTAAAAATATGAAACACAGCCAACTAGGATAGTTCAGTTGGCCAGAGCTTATGGCTTCACAGTGGAAGGTCAGGGTGTTCGAAGTCCCCTAGACACAAAGCTTGCTTGTTAAGCTTGCTTGTTTTGTAGGATAAAATCTCAGTTGTTTAGACGAATCGTATGCAAACTCTCTAGTGTGAGTCTTAAATTCCCGACAACGCGCAAATTCTGATTGAAATGGTGTATAAGTTGAGGAATCGGTTCATACACCTGAGTTTTATCCTTGGTTCTACTCAGAGTCACGAGTCTAACTGACATAATAGAAAGAAAAAAAATGTAAGTGAGAAGTATTATTCAAGTGGAAGACTACGGTAGTGAAGACGATACTATATAAAAATTTATAATTTTTTAAGGTGAAGTTATAGTTTTTAAAAGTGCAAATTATATAATAAATCGATCACAAAAGTTACAACTTGTAAACTTTTATATATCAAGTTATAAGTCACAAATAAAAAATTATAATTAATTCAAGTAATTCATTATCGAGCACAATATTTTATAATGAATAATAAATTATTGATATCAATTATAACTTTAACTTTAAAAATAATATATTTTTTTCTTTAAACGTAATAATTTTCAATGTAGTGCTGCTACCCATTGGCATTATTCAATGTCCGTTGCAACCATTAGGATGCCATAGACCGCACAAAGAGGGGGCACAAGATGACAAATGGAATTGACCAACCAGACCCATACAATATGTTTCTTTTTAGGCCTTTTTGCTTCTCCCTATGTAATGCGGTAGGCAAAGCAATAATGCTGTTTCACACTCGCTGCCCATTTTGCCACCATAAAACGTGTTTTGGCCCTTTTTGCTTCATGGCTCTTCTTTTCTTTGTCCCATTCTTCCAATACATAATTGGAACAACATGTCTATAGCATCAAAAAAATAAAATAATTATCATAATAATAATAAAAATATTCATAATAGATGATTTTTTTTGTACGAAAGAAAAATAATAAAAATATATAATTATCACAACAGTTATAAAAATAACTACAAATATAAAAAAAATATTCATAAAAATGATAAATCACTCACAAAAGTAATGAATATTTGTTTATTCAATATCGTATAAAAAGTCCTAATTTTAATATATGTGATGTACTATGTGTAGTTCAATGGTTGGAGTTTTGGAAAGATCAAAGCACCATTTTTTAGGATAATTTTACGGTATTAGATGGAAAGTTACCATACCAATTTTATACTTAATGGGCAAGTCACATTTTTAAAAATAAATTTACATTTATTCGACGAAATTCATGACCGGTCATGAGTTTCATCAAACAGTTGAACTCTTTTTTTTTCGGGTTATAACTTGATTTTTTAAAATAATTTTTCGGTATCATAATTGAATGTAAGTCAAAAGCGGCAATGCAATTGTGTTAATGGGAGTTGACGATGTCTCCTTGTTCCTTGGCTTGAAGCATTGAACCACTTACCCACCCCGCACCAGGCATCATTCGTGGGGTGCCACGAACTCTCTTAGAGACCATAAGTTATGTAAGTGGATTACGTAAATTACATTTTGTCGTTATGATTTCAAAAATTAGGAGATTCCATAGGTTTAATTAAGACCAATTAATTTAAAGTCAACTCTACCATGTTGGATGATGACTAATATAGTGTATTTGTGTGAACGAGATTGTATTGGTTAATAATCTCTTGTGAATCACTAGATGTGTCGGGTTCAATCCCCCCCCCCCTCCCTTCCCCTCACCTCAAGTAATGTAGTGTTGTACAGTTACTATCAAAAAAAAAAAAAGAAAGGTAGTCTCAGGGTTCACATAAGAGTAAATCCAAACAAAACAACTTATTTGATGTGAAATATATTGAAGGAAGCGGATCGATCGAACCTGTAGTCGATCTTGTTTCGATCGACTTCATTCTCTTGACTGTTGAGGATCTTGATCAGCTAGGTAGAGGATATCTTCTATCTCAATTCGGGCCAGGACGAGAAAAAAGAAGTGGATGGAGGGATTGTTTGAATACTTAAGTCAGTCTAAAAGGGAGATATTATCTAGAATATATATAAAAAAAAAAAGGTGCTAGATCAATGACTATGCTGATGATCACATAAGGGTGTAAGGTGTACAAATGAAATGGGCAATAAACTTCAGCTTAATTACACTACCTTTCAGCCTAAGTTTTGTTTGTTTATATTGACGAAACTCTTGCATGACCACACATTTGACTCACTTCTCTAAAATAAATTTCGCGTACATACAATCACTCATTAATTACACGTATTAAATAACCTTATGAGTCACCAGTAATAATTAAATAAAATATGTTTGAATATTCGATTTGTCTCAAATTTAATTCCAGACCATTGGACTATCCGTCAGGATTATTCTCATCGTAAAAAACAATTATCTTAGAAGCAAATTCAAGAAGATAATCTACGCAAGTTGTTGATTTTTCTCTTTGGTGAATTCGTTATAAATGATCATGGCACCGTGACATTTGTTTGTCACCATAATCTCTGACAAAAGTTTTACATTTGTCCAAAATATTTAGTCGATCTATTTAGCGTTGAATTGGTTCTTACAATTGAAAAAAATGACCAGAATTTTTACGGTTGACTAGATGATAGTTACCACTATATTGGTGATTGTGGGCCTAATTTAAGTTCGATTAAGCCCATGAGTAATCAATGCAAATATAATTTATAGCTCTAAATGTTGAGATATTTTGTGTATGGTTTATGATAATGTCGATATGTTGAATGAAATCATCTCCTAGGTTTTTTTTTTTGGGCCAAGTATATATTGAGATTAAGAGAAAAACAAAAAGGGCAAAAGAAATATAATCATGCATCAAAGCTTGATCCACACCTGAAGGCTATACAACATAATTCTCAACCTAATCTTAAAAACATAAAGCATCTAATAGACAGTTCACACCACTCTCTTCCACTAACATTATTTATATCGGCTAATGACAATTTGTCCAAAAGACATTTCACCCTAATGATGATTAGCAAGATTTTGTTCCGTATCCTTGAAACATCTTGGTTAGAGCAAGTTTTGCTGATGTCAATTCCCTGCAACATTCATTCTTGGGTATAAGTATATATATAACCCTAATATCATCACTCTTGTGAACTCAAATGTTGCTACATGTAAAATTTGAAACTTAAGGAGAGTGACTAGAACGATGAACCTATTAAAGGTTAGCTTGGTGGGGCATTCCATAGTTGGGTAATGGAGTTTGAGTTAGGATTTTCATCTTATTGGACCACAGGGTAATATGGTAACTATACAACCCCATTAGTTGATTGGAGTTGACTCGAATTTATTGAACTACATGGACAGAGAATAACAGGATTGAGATCATTTTCATTATTTTTTCACACAATTTCACTTAATGGTAATAATTTACTACTTTTCTTTCCCGTGGTCATGTAGCCTAGATCACTTAAATTTCAATTTGTAAGTATAAATTTGAACTATGAACCATTAAAATGTATCAAGACAATCGATTTATAACATAAATTTTCGTTACAATGTCTACGTAGACATGTTTAAAAAAGGGGAGAACAATTATGATATTATCTTTGGTACCGTACTAAAATTTATAACTAAACATTGTTAGGAACAAATCGAAAAGGTCAACTTACAACTCAAAAAAATTAGTAATAACCAACTTTTTCATGAGTAATGTTTTTAAGTTAGAATTAATATTTTTTTAGCCTTCATAGTTGATTATAGAGGACAATGACCTCTCTCTGTATGTTCATTTCCTTGGCTTGCTTTCTTTTTCTTTGACAAAATACTTGTAAATTCAACAGACAACTTGTCAAGGAACTAAACCCTTTTTTAAAATATTAGTGAGATTAACTTTTTTTCTGAACCTTTTTTTTAACAATATGTACATGGAGGGTGTAAAAAATCGAGATTTGAACATGCGATCATTAGATACAACGGCGGGATGGTGGCCGTTAAGTCAACCGTTTAATCCACCTATTAACTAGAAATGAGCGATATCGATATGTTAACAAAACATCTCTAAGCGCAGTTGCTACCCAATTTCTTGTACCATTACAAGCTCTTGAACAGAAACTCAAATGAATTTTCAGTTTTTTGTTTTTGAACAGGTGAGTGAATATTCAGTTCAATTGCGCAGTTTTTAATGTATCTCCTTTATAAAAGCTTCGATTGGGCTTAGGTACTTGAGATGTTTTATGGTTAGTCTTAAATCTCACTACAGTCTTGGTCGCCTAAGCAGACGATGAGCACCGAGGAGGCTCAAATGACATTCTTCCCCCATGGCCAATGCACGAAAATATCACTAGCTGGTTAACTAGGCCCAAAGGATATTCTTCATAAAACCACGGTCCATGGCAATGCACGAAAAATATCACTAGCGGGGTAGCTAAGCATTATCATTGATATATTATTTAAGGGACCTTCGAAAGTTGATATACGAAATTAGACTTAATTGTTAAAAAGTACATAACAAAAAATGGATTGTGAAAAAAATTCACTTAAGATATAAAAAGATTTGAATACCCTTTTATTATAAATAAGTTTCCTAAAAAAGATTTAAAAAAAAAACCCACATTTATATATAAACCTAAAATTTAAAAAAATTAAAACTCATAATAAATCCTCTCGATTTTTTTAGAGATATGTTTCAAAATTTTTGGAAGCTTTTGAAATTTGATAATACATATAATACTACGAAGTCATGCTATGAAACCTAGTTTCTATTACTCCTACATTGTTTTGATACTCTGTATTGAATCTTGTTTCGCCATTGAGCTAACATCTACGTGAATATTCTTTAGATTCATGTTCATGTTTGGTCTGACGAGTTTTGCATTGGCTGTCAATTACCTAACGTAATCCTCCTCCTTTAGTCGAGTTTGGGACTGGTTGTACACAAAAATACATGCAGAGTTGTCGAAATACATTCGCCTAAACTATGATATTTAAAATTTTCTATAGAACTATACAAAAATAAGTAAAGAGTTTCAATATAATAATTTATATTTATACTACTAATAAAAGTCACTTAACTAGAAAATATTTTGATTAACCAATATATCCTAGTAAAAATAGTATATGGCACCATCATCCTTTAATAACTAAAAAGACATAACAATCCCTTTATGCTTATACAACAAAATTAATGAAAAAAATAATTATTGGATTAACTAGGGGCACCTTCATAGCCAAGACCCTTGGGTGATGCATGAAAAATATCACTATAGTGAGTGTTAATAAATGGTGGGTTGTTGGATCCGGATCAAGATCCGTTTCCATGGGCAAATAGATCCTAACTTAGGTAGTTGGTAGAAATTACAAGAATAAATCACCGTCCTAAGGGGAGGTGATCATGGTACCCATGGGTGATTACTTGACGGTTACTTCCACCCATATACATATAGGACCAATTCTCTGCATAATTTTTTAACTAATACAAGTTATTCAAAGGATACACTCTCCCTCTCCACATACTTTTTATTTCTCTTTGCAATTTCTTTTAGTCAACACCATACATCCTTAGATTTGTGAGTGAAAATTCAACAAAAGATAGAAGCTGCTTCTTTAAACTAGTACCAGATACGGGTGTGTATAAAGAAGTTTGAGAAAGTTTGAATTTAGAATCGTTGAGCTTGAAATAACAAAAAACAATCCGATTTATATTTGAATTTTTCAATAGACATATCAAAAACCTATTGAGTCGACAATGGGTTAACCAGTGTAAAATATATCCTTCATAACCATGGCCCATAGGCAATGCACCAAAAATATTATTGTTGATTGAAATGTATATGACTCAATCATATTGTATTTTGAATAATAATTTTCGTTACAAGACTAGCATATGATCTATATATATAAGTTATAGTCGACTCATGATTGCTTCATAGACATCTAGAAAGACTTGGTTGAATCATTCATGTTATCACTCATCAAATGGCAATGCATCTGCCAGTATCGTTCCGTTATGCCCTATATAGCTTTAATCTCCGATCGTGTCTAATTTCTTCTTAGTATCTAACATTTCATGCTTGTCTTTCTTGTGAGTTATAGATACGATCGATGATCCATATCCACAAGCTCTTGGAAAGTTTTCTACGCGGAGTAAGACAATTTTGTCCGAGGGGACGTCGGTTTCTTGGGTTGTTGACATTTGGCACTCTATTAGATATTGTCGTATGGGTTTGAATCCTATCCCCCTAGGCCTCCTCTTGTTTATGACGACAGTACTTGTTTGTTTTTGGACATTTCAAGGAAATTCCATACACATATGGTTGAATAAAGTCAACTTAATCAATTCAAATTCTTGTAGTCTTCGACGAGGATCATAACTACATTTCAAACACTTCGTTTAAAACAGCTGAAATATTTTTATTTTTACAAAAAATTAAAAAAAATCAATAATAGAGTAATGTTTTAAGGGGTTTTGAAATATTTTAATATATTTTCATTATTATTTGGACGTGCTTTAAGATGCTTTGATCTATTTTAGATTAATATTTTGAAATATTTTAGAAATACACTTTTAAATTTTTTATTCATTTTCAATATGTTTTTGAGATATTTTTTAAAATATTTTTGAAACGTTTTTGTTTTTTAAATGACATCAACAATGTGCGGAAACAAAATTTTAGTGATGGTCTGGTATTCCTATAAAATTCAACCCAATCTCTCCGTGCATTGTCTAAAAACTATCACACTTCACTTCTTTATTCCCTCTGATTTTTGTTTTTTGAATTCTGATCGAAGAAGTCAAACACCATGTCCTCGAGAGAATCCAATTTGGCCACGGCCAAGACAGTTCTCTCCACCATAGGCTCCACCGCCACAGAGCGATGGTGATCCATTCAATAGCCCAAAACCATATCTCTTTCTCGGCCTCAGAAACTTCTTCAACAAATTCTCAACTCAACTAACAATGGTGATCAACAAGGTCAATGGCCTCGTCTGGAACGAAATCTACGAAGCAGCTGAGGTCTATTTAGGCCCCAAGATCATCCAAGACACTCGTCGCCTGAAAATCAGCAAATCAGACAACGAAAAGAACATTAACATAACCATGGAACGCACCGAACAAGTCACAGATATCTACCAAGGAGCTAAATTGACTTGGGTTTGGATTGGTAGACAGAGTCAAGAAACTTACTAGAAATGAACTCGATTATAGGACATGAAGTCCGATCTTTTGAGCTCACGTTTCACAGAAAGCACAAAGGTTTCGTTATCAACTCTTACTTGCCCCATATCATGAGAGAAGCAAAGTTGAAGAAACAAGAGAACAAGGCAATAAAGATCTTTACAGCCAATTATACGACTGTAAGCGAATGGTATACGGAATTATGGGAATCGATGAGTTTGGACCACCCGGCAACGTTTGAGACATTAGCAATGGATTGGAAGGTGAAAGAGGTGTTGAAGGATCTTGATAGGTTTGTGAAGAGGAAAGAATATTATAGGAAGGTGGGTAAGGCTTGGAAGAGAGGGTACTTATTGTATGGTCCTCCTGGGACTGGGAAATCGAGCTTGATCGCGGCTATTGCCAATTACTTGAATTTTGATATCAGAATTGACCGCGGTGAAGCGTAATTCGGATTTAAGAAAGTTGCTCATTGAAACGGCGAATCGATCGATATTGGTGGTTGAAGACATTGACTGCAACATTGACTTCCATGATAGATCGGCTCGGGAGCAGGATTCAGAACAAAATGATCAGGAAGATAGCAAGGTTAGTTGTTCTAGTTCTTTCAATTTTGTTTTCTGTCTTCCTCCATAATTTCCTCCCTCGTTAAAAATGGTAGGACGCCAAAAAATTACTTCTGTATAGGCACTTAATAGTGGAATCATAAGACCTCAAACTGTACTCATTACTTTTCTCAAGAATAAATTTATTTAAGCTAAAATAACGGTCAATCATTAAATCTCAATATAAATTTCAAAACTCAAACTTCTAACCTTAAAATAAAAAATTTGATTAGTACTCTATTAGATTTAGTCACTTCTGAAGTATACAAGAGGACCCCATTCCGCTCCCCCTACCCCTCTACATGCAAGAGATGGAGGCCCATGTGGGCCACGATTAGCACCCAATCCCGTCCCTCCGTCCCCACACCCACTCAACCTCTCAACTTCACACCCAATCCTTTTAATTTTTAATAATGATATTTGAACTTAAAAAATTGACCTCATTTATTAACCTTTGAATTGACGATTAGTCCCATTAAATTTTGAAATTTTCTCTTTATCCAATGGTCTCAAATGAAATCACATCATCATGTCAACAAATATGGTCAAATTTTTAAATTTGAATAGTATTATTCTTTAATTTTTCATTTAGTAGTTGATAATTTGATGGGTTTTTTTTACGTAGAATGCTGTCCATCCTATGCTTGCAACATTGCAACGTTGTTACAAGATTTTATTATTAATGATCGAAGATTATAAAACTGTTCTCAAAACAAAGGCAAGTGAACATCAACCTTTTCTATTACAAAATTTATGAAAAAATAGAGCAAACCCAAATATTCATAAAGGAAGAACTCGTTATCGTCAAACCCATAGCTGTTACTGACCACGTTGCTGTCTTTTAAAGCTTCTGGAGTAAACCTTGGCAATAAGGCATCACACTCATAGTTGACTAGGTGACACTATCCGGTTTTCTCAATTTTATTGACTCGTTATGGTCGAGTTGTGGCGATGATCGGATCATAATTTTCCAAAGGGCATGTTTGGGTCGAGAATAAACAAAGTATGGAATTAGATAATTAGTTTCCATACAAATGATATATTAACATGAGGACTATTTGATCATATCAGTTGTGTAACAAGTTTGGATCAATGTTAGGATAAAGTATAAATCTATAATTGTGATACTAAATTTATGCTTGGATTAGATAATGGTGTATGATATTAAATTGAAAATGATAAAACAAATATTGAAAACAAAAGTTTGCATAATGTATAACTTTTATACGAAAATATAGATCTAACTTTTATAAGAATTTGTACAATTCAATCTCTTAATACGTCAACCAAACATGCAGAAATAGCAAACAAACTAAAACATAGGGGAGGAGGTACATAGAAGATAAACATGTTTCTTGTTTAATGAAAACCTCAAAGACACCAAATTATCCTTAGGAATAATTTTTTATTTTGGGGTTCTGGAAACTAGACATTCCATGTTTTTTTAGGAGGGTAAGGTTTTGTACTGGTACTTCCATTAATCTCAGTTATTGATTTGAAATAAAATGATTTGTAATCATTGATTAAATAAATAATATAAGAATAAAATAAAAAAAATTTGGCTACGTGAGGTATGGAACCGAAAATACTGTAATAGAAGTATAGAACATGTTACTTGAATCAGAGACTTAACTTGTTGGTATGGTCCGCAGCTACCATAGGAATCTCAGTGAATCTTAGATAAGTCAACTGCAAGAAATTAGAATCAACACCAGACAAATCACAAGGACAAGCTTGACCCTGCGTTGTTGCGGCCGGGTCGCATGGATGTGCACATCCACATGTCTTATTGCACCCCATGCGGTTTCAAGCTTCTTGCTTCGAATTATCTCGGTATCGAACAACATGAGCTTTTCGGAGAGACTGAGAAATTGATTCGAACCATAGAGGCCGCACCAGCGGAAGTAGCCGAGCAGCTATTGAAGGATGACGAGCCCGGTACTGCACTCAATGGCTTGATTGATTTCCTCCATGTGAAAAAGATTGAAAATAACGAAGCCGAAGCCAAAGCCAAAGCCAAAGCCAAGAAAATAGAACAAGAATCAATCTGTAAGGAGGTGAGTGAACAAGGATTTGAGAGTGAAAATGAAGAGAAAGAAGGCATATCCCAAGAAAATTAACAGCGTTACCTGCTAAGAAATTGAAATAAACGGAGACATCAATCATTTACCTCTCCCCGATTTCGTTATAGATGTAAGGATATTTTAGACTCTACTAATATATGAATTAGCGTGTGATTATATTAAAAATTATGATTATATTACGGGTTAATAGATTTAACCGTTAACTCACTATAATCCAATCCATTATAATTCATTCATAAAATAAATTGAAAATGAATTGTACTTATATTGCACCCAAACCATTATGAACCCACGTTACCCACCCATAATCTTCCTAGCCTGCCTTTTGGCACCTCTACACACAACATAGACCATTGACAAGCCACTTGCATCTTTTTAGATAATTGCATACTCAACATATANACGTTACCCACCCACAATCTTCCTAGCCTGCCTTTTGGCACCTTTACACACAATATAGACCATTGACAAGCCACTTGCATCTTTTTAGATAATTGCATACTCAACATATAGGATAAACTATCCCTCAAGGTTTAGGTATTGCTCCTCGTATAATAAAGCTAGCGGTAATAGATCCACTTTTAGCTACTCATGTNTAGGATAAACTATCCCTCAAGGTTTAGGTATTGCTCCTCGTATAATAAAGCTAGCGGTAATAGATCCACTTTTAGCTACTCATGTTATAAACAAATCCTCTAGCTTGAAACCACTAATAATAGCATAAAGTCTTTTGTAATATACTTTTCTCTACCTTTTGACTAAGATCAAATGTAATATCTGTTATTATCAATTTAATATTTGATATATGGGATATCACCCCACATAATATTAAATTAATTATTTTAGAGAGAGGACCCACCACAATAGCTTGCTATTGGGGTCCTTGAGCATCGCTTTTGTGTTGCACTATTGCAATGGCCTGACGCACCCCACCATAAAATATGGAGGAAAAAAAAAAAGTCTTTTGTAATCATCTATAATGAACCAATGCTCTCGTCTGGCTCTTATCGATTACAGAAAGAGGCCTACAGCCAATTTGTACCTATGTTGTTCATTCAATTTTAATCAATAGTAAATCATCAACTATGTAGGAATGAAGGACCCACATAAAAATAATGAGTCTTATTTGAATGCATGATAAATAATTTACTATTGAGTGAATTTTTGTGAAAAAATAATCGAGAGAATCTCTACATAGAAAAGCCATTTTAACGCATATAAATCATTAAATGATGTTTTCTTTTGAAATGCAAATTACTTATTAAGTTTTTGTATTCAAATTTTGTTAATAGGATTGGAAAAGGGTTTTGCACTATTTTTACTCAAATTTAAGTTTGGATCTACGAAAAAAAGATAAGGCCAGAGATGTTCTAATAGAACAATCTGTTTTGTCAATAAGTACAGTCGCACAAACTTATTAAGTCATTAAGGAGACATGATGTGCAATATTTGGCAAGCAAATCTAATACTCTTTTCTTCTTCTTCTTCTTTTTCTTCTTTTGACCTTGAATTGATCACGCATATTTTGCTGCTGAAATTGCATGTCTGTACCATTGAATATATCTATTTTCTCTCTCATCACTCTATATATATTCTCTCTCCCACCTCCTTCCTTCAATTATTTTCTCTCTTCTCTCCCTTCCATCCTACTATTTCTCTCTCTTCCCTCTTCCATCCCACTATTTCTCTCACCTTTCTCTTCAATTTCATTGTTTCTCTCTCCTCTCTATTACTTTAATTTTTCTCTCTCCTTACGTTTATATAACACTCCTCTCTCCTATCTCTTATCATCTATATCTGCTATGTCTTATTTACATTGTTGTCTCTATACTATATATATTCATGCACAATAAATCACATACGTAGATAAAGATAACAACACAATCATAAGGACAGTGATTTGTTACTGTCACAATAACATGTATTTGTCATAGTGACGAGTTGTTACTATCACAATGACATAAATTTTCACTATGACAATAATTTTTATTGTCACATTAACACACATTGTCACAATAATAGTAGTTGTTACTATTACAACACAAATTTTCATAGTGACAAAGATTGTTACTATCACAAGAACACAATTTTGTCCGACTGACAGTAGTAATTACTTATATAATAATCATCAAAACTAAACCATAGCAACAATTATTGATATTATTATAAGGGTTTGTAGTTACTGAGGCAGCCATAATAACCCATAGTGACACATCCACATTGACACATTGATAGCTATAGTGATACAATCACCGTATATATCACCTTTTTATTGTGGCATAGATGCCACTATATATATATATATATAACAACCTTCTACTATGGTCTATATATGTCTGTGTAAATATACACAGACATAGCAACCTTCTATAATATACGTGTACATATACATATATATACATAAGGGACATATCTGTGTGTGAGGTAAAGAAATATACATGGAGAGAGAGCGAGAGAGATCTGCGTGAGATATTATTATAAATGAGTATATTAGACATATGAAAGAAAATACAAAGATTAAGTTATACCTGAAAAAGTTTAGGTGACAATATTGCACCTTTATAAATAAGGTTGATTACAGGGCCGACCCAACTACTAGGCTACTAAAACCTGGACTTTAGGCCCAGCCATATAGATGGAAAGCCCCAAATTTTTGGGTATATTAATAGTCCATGTCAAAGTTTTACATTAATAACATGTTTAGGCCTATCAAAAAAGCTCAGTAAGAATATAACCCAATCAAAAAATTTTAAGTTCAATAAATAAGACTCATAATTAAAAATCTGTCAATTACTTAACTGTATTATTAATTGAGACTGATATACGAAAAAAAAATTTGAAATGCCGCAACTTAATTTGTATGTTCATATATCAAATCGAAAAGCAAAAAATATATATTTCGAATGAATACAATTTATTATTCTTCTTCTTATTATTATGACTTCATTTATAAATTTCTCTTTAGGCCCCCAATTCCATTGGGCCGCCCTTAGTTAAGTATGATACAATCGGTTATCATTTGTCAATTAATAATACATTGATGTAATTTTTTGATCATTGGATGTAAATATTATGTACCAATGTGAGCATGTTGTATCGAATTATGTGATATTTTTTTATTTTATTTTATGATATTTTTCTATCTTGAATCCATATCTTCCAAATAATATTATTAGTGTTGATTAACTTATGCACAAAAACAATAAGTGGGCATTAGAGCACTCAAATAAAAGATTTGAAAAATAACGTGACGGAGGAGAAAGAGATTTACGTGGAGATCAATGTAAGAGAGAGATTTGTGTGAGGATTTTTAGGATGTAATGCTCCGTTTGGTAGGGAGAATAAAAAGTAGGAAGGATGGAAGTAGGGGGATATACTTTCTATCCTTCAGAAATGAAAAGTAGGAAGGATACACATTCCTTCATTTGTGTTTGGTTGAATGGATGAAAAATAAAATTAAGAGTGACAATCGAGTCGTATCATATCAGATTCGTGTTGAGTCATTACGGGTTTATGTCGAATGTTAGTCAAACCTAACTTAACTTATTTAACTAATTATGTCATGTCGAGTTGCGAGTTGATATGTTTATTTTCGTATCGAGTTTTAGTCGTGTCATCGTGTTGAGTCGAAAATTTTTACCTAAGATGGAAAAAAATATATTTTTTTTAATTTAAATATTTTTTTATTTTTTATTTTTTAAAATTTTTTATAATATATATATATACACACACATATTTTACCATTGTATTTTTATATGAAATTAATATGTGTATATATAAAAAGAAATATAGACAAAAACGATACATCCCAACACAAATAATGCATGTTTGGTTTGAGTTTCAAAAAATAGTATCTGCAAACAGTTTTTGAGAAGAATTTTAAGAAAGTGATTTTGATATTTTTTGAGATAAAAAACTTGTTTGGTTAAATGATTTCAAAAAATAATAGAAAATAGTAAAACTTATTTGGACAGTCTAAATATATATTTGAACAGTAATTCAAATATTAATAAAAAATCATATAAAAATTATTTTTATATTGACAATTTCATTATATATATATATATATAAATGAAATCAATAAATTTTTTTGTATTTGTCATCATTACCATAATCCAATTCAATAACAAAATATAATTATAAACTCAATTCACCCATGTAATAAATATTTCAAACAAAAAATTATCCACAAATGCAACCATCTACATAATAAAAATAAGTTCACAAATACTGTCAAAAGAATAAGTTTTGTCATTTGATATTCCACCAGCTTCCAAAAGAATGAATACAACATGTATTCATAAAAAATAATATATTTAGATTCTTTTTCATTCTATAAAAACATACAAATATTTTTTTTCAATTCATATACATTTAAATAATAAAAAGATTGAGAAAACATAGTTACCTGAAACGTATTGTTTCATAAGTTTTGATGTTCATTGTTCCCCTGTTGAGCCTCTCAATCTTCTAATGCTCGTAAACAGATTAAGTCATTTTCGATTTCCTCTAAGAGATGCTCCAATTCTGTCATATCTAGGAAGCCATTCTCGAACTGTGTATGAATGAAGTCAATTGGCTACGAAGATGGAAGCGTGTTAACAACAGCGTACAACATTATTAGATTATTTGGACCGAAACCTTTTTGTCTCAGTTTTCTAAATAATGATTATTTCTTTTTTATATGGTCTACGACATCTGATTGTGGATCCATTTTCTGTCTCAAACTGTATCCAAAGTGGATGGATCTTGCGCTCTGCTTCTGCCAATAATTGTATAAATTGCATCGCACAGGTTGGTCGGTTGTGATTAATAATTTTTTCCTTTGCAGAATCCCAGGTGGTGGGAAGGGTTTCTACTATTTTTTATATAATATAATCTTCACTTATGTTTTTTCCTACATTTTGCAGCATACGACCTAATCTAATTTTTTCAAATCCAAACTCTGAGATTGGAGTTCCATCTTCAAAAGAATCATTTTCAAATTTATCTACTATGCTTGTTATTGCTAAACGCATACTACGACGTACATAAATGGGAGGACGTTCCATATATCTGTACATAATATAAAAATTACAAATTAAATTGATAATAATAAAATTAATAATAGTTAACCAATATTACAACAATAAAATATTTTTTTACTATCACATGTGATCTAATATTGTAAGAATAAGAACAACAACACACTAATAACAATAAGAGAAATAGAATAATTAAAATGATAACATTATTATTCATTGTTGCAATATTATTCTTGATAAAACATAAACATGCAACAATTAAACCAAGAAATAGACAACAAATATAAATTCATGCATATGAATTAAATTCAAAGAATATTAAAATAGTGTGATTTATTCATAAACATTAATTGAATGGTTTAACCTTGTAGCTTTTGATTGAATGTAATATTAAACAATATAATTAATGATTCAATCTTCCAGTAATTCATTGAACTTTCTCTTCATTAAACTTTTTCTTCATCACTTTTCTAAACTTTATTGTGTCAATACATAGACGAAACCTCAAGTTAGGAGAATAGACAACAACCTAGTTTTACAAGAAAAAAAGAAAAAACAAATCTTAGTGAAATATATAGAATTTATAAAAACATACAGTATGCTGCAACAGTGTAAGGGTCAAGTTACCTTATTACGATAACCCCATCGGTGAAGTCGTGTTGTATTTAATCTTTTCATCTCTTTAGCCAATTCACACCAATCCTACAAATATTGAATGATGATAATATAAAGTTAACATGGTTATTTTAATTATGTGTATTCAATATGAAAAAAATTGTAACTAAATGGTACCTTTTGCAAATAATTGAATAGGAAGTCTTATAACAAAACTCCAGGGAAAACGATGTTTGATGTGCAATTTGACGCATCTTCAGGAAAAAGAATACTTATATGATCAGAAGATGTACATCTGGATAGTACCACATACAGGTGTCCATGGCTAAACACTGGTTTGCGCAAATTAACCCCAACGAATTTGACAAATTGCCCTTAAGATTTATTGATTGTCATAGCAAATGTTAAGCGCACAGGAAATTGACGTCTTGTCATTTGAAAAGGTAATTCCAAAGATGATGGTGTAAGTGATATTCTTGGAATGAAGACTAAATTGCCTAATAATGGGCCATGCAGAATCTAAGCTTCAATTACACGCAAGGCACATCTGAAAACCATTAATCGTGTGTCATTACAAAACCCATCTTTTTGGCGCCAAATTCCGCAACAACATTATTGGGCAACCCACTTTTAACTCCAACTTAAACAGTGGTAGTCTTGAAGGATTTAGAGAGTTTAGATACTCATTTGAAAAACGGTTCGTGATAGTATGATCAAGTTCCTCATCTTCTGAAATTTTGTCTGCAGCTAAATATGTAATAGTCTCCCTTATCTAAACATGGTTAAATTCTGAATATCAATTCTTCTAGATTATGACATTTGTATATTGTTGATGAAAGTTCTATAATTTCTTCTGGATTGGTCCCAACCTAAAATAAAAATTGGAAAATTAAATGAGCGAAGAGAAATAAATACTAATGAAAAACAATATTTTATAAAATTATTAACAAAGAAATTATTACCTCCATTAAAAATTTTGCAAATACAACATTTCTAAAATCCGTGTGAGTTAAGTGCATGTTTTGACCCAGAGTCAAAACATATATATCCCTCCACAAAAATGATCGTCTCAACGATGCACCCACAAATTGCTCGCGAACTCCTATTAGTATAACTGGTAAGATTTGTTGGAAGTCTCCACCAAGCACAACAGTAATACCCCCAAATGGCTTTTTATTATCACAAAAATCTTGAAATGTGTGATCCACTACCTCAAGACAATGTCTATGTTGCATACGTACTTCATCCCATAATATTAGTTTTGTTTTTCTGAACAATTTTGCATGCATCGAATGTTTGGTAAAATCACGAATTGAATTCTCAAGCACATTTAAAGGAATACAAATGTTGAATGTGTCGTGTGACCTCTCATCAATAATAAAGACGCAATGCCAGAAGAAGCAACAGTAACAACAATATGTCCAAAGCTACGCAATTTCGTTGCAATTGTATTGTACAAAAATATCTTCCATGTCCCGGCACCCCCACTCAAGAAGAAAGTAGTTCCTATATCTTGAAACACTGATGAAGTGATTTCAGCATAAGCAATGTGTTGTGCGTCATTAAGGCGATCAACATTACTTTGTGCATCTGACTGTTACGCTTCATTCTGGAGTGTTTGATGCTCAAACAATAGTCTATTACCAACTATTGCATTCCAATTTTCAATTGGTTTGCGACATTGGTGGGAAGTCAATTAAGTTTTTGCTTGACTCGTGGAGCAATTGATTCAGTAAATATAAACTATAATCTTCGATTTGATCCTGAGTTGGATTTGAATTACCAAACATTGTACGAATCTTAGGTTTAAGATCATCACATATCTGCACTGAAAACTAGTTCCATAATGCAAGTGGATATAGCGGACAACATTCAGTTAAAATAATACCGAACAATCTCCTCAACTGGTGTCCCGTTTTCATAATTGAAGCCTCTTGTAGACATTATATCCATTTGACATCATCTTCTAAAAGACCTCTTGCAACACATGCAGATTTGAAAGAGTCTTACATTACGTTGTTTACCGTGCAAATGTTATCAAATGATGTTGGTCATTTGACAACTGTTAGTAACAAACGTAGATAAAAATGCTCACCTAAATTTGGGCTAGCAAAGTACATCCTGTCAATTGCATACGCCTTTTGTCTAAGCGTCCATATTGTGATTTTCTTGTTCCAAACAAATTTTTTTGGAAATTCTTGATAGGTTAATGCACGTGCAAATTTATTTGAAGCACAACATTTAAAAAAACCAGTCAAAGTTGTATCACGTTGTGCACCTCTTGAAATGATTGATTGAAGCGGTTCGTTCGAATTAAAAACAACACGATGCATCCCTAGTAAATGAAGTTCCAAACGTATAATCGATGGAATCTCTTCATGTAAAGGATTACCAAATATTCGCCAAACAACCTCTGGAGATCCAATATACTTTGCATCAAGATATTGTTGAATTTCATTTCCTCCTCCCAACACCATAGTGGTGCGATCATGACCTTTATATATGTACTTATGGATGTATTTCACACATCTTATTCTCGCACAAACTTCCACATTAATATGACAGTTGAATATTCTTGAAAAATAAGGATTGTATAGCACGACATCCCTATTATCAACTTCTTGGCCCCTAACAGTACAAACATGATCATTATCACGACGACGATAAATAGGATATTCATCATCGCCCATGCTTGTTGATTCTACAGATGTCCGAGGGTACCTCTTAGTACATACACCATTTTCCATACAAGATGCATGTGGATTTCGAACTCCATATGGTCCATGTACCATACAACTCTTGATCATATCAAAAAGAAGAGAATTTTTGTCTTTTGGATTCAAACTTCGTTCTACTTTATTATATAGATATATATATATACACATATCTGAACATCTAAAATTGTTCTCTTTGTTTCCAAAATTTTCAAAGAAAACTCTAAAAACAAGCTACACTTGTTTTTTGTTTCTTTGACTCAAATTTCATTTTTTTTTTCCAAAATTTAGAGAACAAAAAATGCTAAACAAACAGGTTTTAGGTGTTTTTAAAATTTTGAGAACAAAAAATTGTTTCCAGATCATAAACCAAACATGACCTAACTTTTCATCTACTTTTCTTCCGAATTTGGAAGGATTGATTTTGGTGAGTTGGAAGGAAAGTTAATTCATTCACTTTTCTATCCTTCCTACTTTCCTTTCTTATCAAATATGATATTTTATTTATCCTTCCAAATTTTCATCTTTCTAACTTTCCATCCTCCTACTTTTTCATCGTATCAAACGAAGCATAAATATATTCTAGAGTCTTGGTTGTCTTTTTACATATGTTTGTTCTTAAAAACATCTCCAATAGGTACTCTATTCTCACTTAACTATCTATTTTAGAGTGATAACTCTTATAAATTTATCTCCAATAGGTTCTGTATTTAGACTAAATATAATAGAGAGTCTAATTTGGCTATCTACATTTAGAGAGTCAAATTTACTATCAATTTGATCATTAATGAATGATAAGATGAAACATATACTTTTTTCATTAAATGAAAGACTATTATCATATTAGAATAGAGAGTTTATTAAAGTTGTCTAAAATAATTTCTTTTTTATTTCAAAATTTTATTAAATATGTTCTCTATTTTAAGAAAAGTTTCTCTTTAAAAAAAAGGATGCTATTGAAGATGCTCTAATGATCAAATAAGTTAGCGCTGGCCTTATTGACCCAAAAGACTAAAACACTGTACTTGCTACCAAAAAACCCGAAAATATCACTAGTGGGTTAACTAGCACAAATAATATCCTTCATAGCATGGGTAATGCGGGCAGTGGGTTAACTAGCGCAAATGATATCCTTCGTGGCTATGGCCCATAAGCAATGCGTGCAAGAAAAATATAATCATTGATTGGTACAAATATGAATCAATCTACTTATATTTTGAAGGGACATATTCGTTACCGGACTAGTATATGTGCCATATAAATAAGTCATACTTGAGCCATGATTACTTCATACACGTCTCAAATGATTTGATTGAATCATTCATGTTATCATCGTCGAATTGCAATGCATTTACCAAAATCATTCCGTGAGGCCCTATATAGCCTCAATCTTTGATCTTGTCTAATTTCTTCTTGTATCTGACATTTCATACCTGTCTTCCTCTAGGTTTTCGATACGATGACCGATACCCGCAATCTCCTGTAAAGTCTTTTACACGGAGTAAGAAAATTGTGTCTGAGAGACGTCGGTTGGTTGGGTTGTTGACTTTGTGGACTCTATTGCATTGTCATTTGGGTTTGAATACTAGACCTCTAGCTCTTCTCTTGTGAGTTTAGGACGGCACTAGTTTTAAGTTCCTGGACATTTCAAGGAAACTCCATAATCGTTGATTTCAGAGTCCACCAAGTCAACGTCAATCAATTCACATTCTGTAGTCTCGCGTCTAACCATGCTATTAAATTCAACACAATCTCTCTCCATGCATTGTCTAAAAACCCACTTTTTCACAGGTCCATTCTGATCGAAGAACGCAAAAACCATGTCTTCCGGAGAATCCAATTTGGCCACGGCCAAGACAGTTATCTCCACCATAGGCTCCATAGCCGCAGCGGCGATGGTGGTCCGTTCAATAGCCCAAACCTACGTCCCTCCGGAACTCCAAGACTATCTCTCTTTGGGCCTCAGAAATTTCTTTAACAAATTCTCAACCCAAGTAACAATGGTGATCGACGAGGTCAATGGCCTAGGCTGCAACGAAATCTACGACGCAGCCGAGGTCTACTTAGGCCCCAAGATCAACCAAGACACTCGTCGCCTCAAAATCAGCAAATCAGACAACGAAAAGAACATTAACATAACCATGGAACGCAACGAACAAGTCACAGATATCTACCAAGGAGCTAAATTCACTTGGGTTTGGGTTTGTAGACAAGTCGAGTCAAGAAACTCATACGACATGAACTCGACTATAGGACATGAAGTTCGATCTTTTGAGCTCACGTTTCACAAAAAGCACAAAGATTTCGTTATCAACTCTTACTTGCCCTATGTCATGAAAGAAGCAAAGTTGAAGAAACAAGAGAACAAGACGCTAAAGATCTTTACAGCCGATTATGCGGCTATATACGATTGGTACTCGAATTCATGGAAATCGGTGAGTTTGGACCACCCGGCAACTTTTGAGACATTAGCAATGGATTGGAAGGTGAAAGAGATGGTGTTGAAGGATCTTGAAAGGTTTGTGAAGAGGAAAGAGTATTATAGGAAGGTTGGTAAGGCTTGGAAGAGAGGGTACTTGTTGTATGGTCCTCCCGGGACTGGGAAATCGAGCTTGATCGCGGCCATGGCGAATTACTTGAATTTTGATATATATGACTTGGAATTGACCGAGTTGAGGCGTAATTCGGATTTAAGGAAGTTGCTCCTTGGGACAGCGAGTCGGTCGATATTGGTGGTTGAAGACATTGACTGCACCATTGACTTGCAAGATAGATCGGGTCGGAAGACGGATTCGGAACTGTATGGTCAGGAAGAAAGCAAGGTTAGTTGTTCTGGTTGTTTCAATTTTGTTTTGTGTTTTTTCTGTTCTTCTCGTACAATTATTTTTTATCACCGTTCCAACTGTTTGGTTTTGCTGTTTTCGATCAATCTAAACTGATCTTATCATTTTTTGACATTAAATTAATAATGAATTTTATTATTAATTAAGATTTATTATCAATTCAATGACTATGATCCATCAAATAAAAAAATAAGGTTACTAAATTAAATACAAATAATATTTCTCATCTAAAGCTGATCTTCCCTCCATAATTTATCCACCACTCAATCTAATAATTTACCCACCACTCAATCTAATGATTGAAATGGTTTAGGTCTTCAAATAAAATCTCAGGTTAAGTATCAATAGTAATGCCCCAGTGGAATAAGAGATTAAGGTAAGAGACAAACTGAAGAGTTTTGCCAGGTAATAAAGACCCTCCAATAAAATAAAAGATATATATATATTGTCATTGAATTAATGCTCGACTTCATTCCATACTATACTATAAGTAGTAATGTTATACTGACCAAATTTGAAATTTAGACATAACAGTCATTTGGACTTCATTATTTAGTGTCATGTTATTTACTCTTTAAAACTCCATATAATATGTTGTTATGTCATTTGGATTATAAATTTAATTCCGAAATTTGATCAGCATAACATTACTGTACTAAAAGACCAAATTACGGTTGGAGTATTTTTCAAACCAATTAATGACAAGAGTCGAGACCCTATGCCAATCAACCAAGGGAGTCATTCAAGACCAAGAAAAATGGATTCTATCTTCTTCATTATATTTCTTTTTCAATTTTTTTTCTTGGTGCATTATTTATCATTAATGAGTAAGATTGTAAGAGACCAATTTGTATACAACGAATCTCACTTGAATATATATGATATGTCAAAAAAAAATATCAAAAATGATCTCACTCTAAAAAAAAATAAAAAATTTCCCATTTGTTAGTGGGGAACTAGTATAATTTCTATCTTTAGGGTTGGTAAAGACAGGTCCACACTACTCACATGGGACCTTTGATTATCTCGACTCTCGACTCCCTTGTGACCCGTATGGCTTCGTGCAGTCTTCATCTTCCAATTCCTTATTAGGGTACAAGTTTGCCACCCTGCATTTGTCCACTTCCATTGTCATCCTTTCAGACTCATACATAAGTCTATCACACCCACAAAATAATGTGGATATTGTACCGAAATTAGTCGAGAGTCAATAAATTATTGTTTTGATTGTTTGTCAAAATTTTATTGAATAAAAAATAAATGTACAACACCGAAAAGTTGTTCTTCGGGTTCATAAGGGAACCCCCACACTCATTAAGAGCATTTAATTTGTTGATCTCTTTCATAGATCTAATCTACTATTCATATAGGATTACTGAGGAGTATCAATCTGAGAAAAGATTCAATGACATGTGTGGATTATTAGAAAAGTAGATTAGGTGAAGGTGGTAACATTGATCAGCACAAAATATTATTAACTTGAATCAAATTTTTTGACTTAATTTAGTGTTGCAATCCACGGCTATCATCGGATTCTCAATGAGATCACGACGGGAGAGAAAATTTGTTTCTACATTTTATTAGCATCATGTTTGATTAATAACGACTATTATATGTGGCATATTAGATAAGTAAATCAAGTCAAATTAGTTATATTGATTAGGGGTGCCAATGGTATCATGTCGAATCATTACGAGTTTGTGTTGACTACTAGTCAATCTTAATCCAATCTATTTAACTAATCATATTTTGTTGATTGACTTGTTTATTTTCGTATTGGTGTTCGTGTTTATGTTGACTCATAATAAAGAACTTAACATTATGATTTAAATTTAAGATTCTATTATCAAATAATTGAATTCATGCTCATGTTTTTTCTATAAAATAAAAATTAAATTAATAAACACAACAATAATAATGAATAAAAATGTATTTTTTGTACAATAATTATGTCAATACTTAATAAACAATAACAAATAATTAGTATTTTATTTCAATAATATTAGTTAAACGTGTTAATCATGTCGATTTCATATTTTTCGTGTTTGACACTAATCCAACTTATGTATTATTTGTATTTATGGGTTGTGTCATTTATGGGTTCATGTTAAGAAATAATTAACCCTAACCCGCTAATTTCGTGTTGAATTCGAGTTGTGTTTTCGTGTCGGGTTATAAATTGTCACCCCTAATATTGATCGACTAAAAATACATTACTTGAATCAGATTTGTCAACCTATTTTGTTCGTATGATCCATGGCTACCATTGGATTCTTCGTGGATCTCCGATTAGTAAACTGTCAAGAAATCGGAATCAACCCGGGAGAGAAAATTTGTTACGATACTTATGAACATCATTCTTATACAAGCTGTATATTCACATAATTTTAATGTCATAGGTGACACTCTCCGGTTTTCTCAATTTTATTGATGGCCTATGGTCAAGTTGTGGCGATGAGCGAATCATAATTTTTACAACAAATCACAAAGACAAGCTTGACCCTGCGTTGTTGCGGCCGGGACGAATGGATGTGCACATCCACATGTCTTATTGCACCCCATGCGGATTCAAGCTTCTTGCTTCGAATTATCTCGGTATCCAACAGCATGAGCTTTTCGGAGGGATTGAGGAATTGATTCGAACTGTAGAGGCGACTCCGGCGGAAGTAGCCGAGCAGCTATTGAAGTATGACGAGCCCGGTGCTGCTCTCAGTGGTCTGATTGGTTTCCTCCATGTGAAAGAGAATGAAAATAATGAAGCCAAGGCCAAGAAAATAAAGCAAGAATCAATCGAGAAGGAGGTGAGTGAACCAGGAAAAGAGAGTGAAAATGAAGAGAAAGAAGGCACATCCTAAGAAAATTAACAGCCTTACCTGCTGAGAAATTGAAATAAAGGAGACACCAATCCTTTTCATCTCCCAGATTTCGTTATAGATGAGAATATTTCGAAGTAATAGTACGTAATGTTTTGGTATATTTGTGTTTCTACGTTGTTTGTGTATTAACGTCTATGTTTATTTTTGAGTGTGTTAGTTTGTGATTATTTTACTGGTTAATGGGATTAACTCAATCCACTATGATCCAATTTATTATAATATACATAATGAAGTATAAAGATTGAAGAAATAAAAAATAATTTTTGTTTTTCACAATTGAGATCATTTTAAATTTTATTTTGAAGTTAATATGACTACTAATATTAACTCACTAAATTTAATAGAGAAAATAGACTCTCTTATCTCATTCTTATATTTATTACTACTATCAACATCATCCCACTATCATCACCTCTGTCCATCACCCACCACCATTCGTCGTTGCTAGTCACTGCTCACAGCCACAATTACCATCGTCGCCACTCCATTGCTGCTACCATCATCATCATCTCACCACCACTACTACTAACCACCATCAGTGTCACCCCCACCCACTATCATCGTCACCGCCACCACTACTGACCACCATGAACATCACCCCCACCCCCACCCACCATCATTATTACCGCCATGACCTTCAGCTATCACAACCACCACCATCATCGTCACTACCCACGATTGTCACTATCACCATGGTCGACCCGCCCACCACAACTATTGTTGTCTTCCACCACCACTTCAAACTGCTCATTTCTACTATAATTGGTGTTTAAATTCATTTCTTTCTCTCCTATGTTTTTAATTTGATTTTACGTATAAATACAAATATATTTATGATTGATAATTTTTTTTTTTACTCTATGTCTTAAGCACAAGCAATAATTAATTCATTTATAAGACGAATTGAAAACAAATTATACTTATATTGCACCCAACTAACCAAACCGTTATGAACCCACCTACAATCCGCCTAACCTGCCTTTTGCCACCTCTGCACACAATATAGACCATTGACATGCCATTTAGATCTTATTACATAATTGCATACACAACATATAGGAGAAACTGTCCCTCATGGCTTTGGTACACCCTAACATTCCTCCTCGTATAATAAAGCTAGCAGTAACTGTGTTACTTTGCAATATATAATAACCATATAGATAATAGATTAATAGAGCCACCAATAAAAAAAAAAATGGGGAACATGCGGGATCCACCTCCTTTTTCCTTTTCGTCTTCTTACCGACAACAATGTCATAATTGCAACTTTCTCCCTTATTAATTACACTTCATCCATATTAATTACGATTTCATTTTTTAAGATGTAAATATTCAATTTAACTCCCAACGATTTATTTTTGTAGTTACCAACCTTCTCAATTAGTTAGAGACTATAGTAGTAATTAGTCATTCTAGTTGACTAAAAACTCATGCTAATAACGTGTTATACATATTGTATATGGGTGTAACTTGGGCAGATTAAAGAATCAATCCTAACATAATTTTAGGTATAAAATCTTCAACATTTATTTTAACTCTAATTCGACTTCAAGCCGAGATATTCAATCCGAATAGTGTCCGAATTAATCTTGGACAAGTTCAGGTTAAAATCGGGATATCTAATTCAAGCCCAATTTGGGTTCACAATATTAGTCACAATCTCAAGTTACTCACATGTTTTTCAAAGTAAATCTTACATGGCTAACCACTAATTCATTGGCTATCGATCGAATTTTTTGCTTTAAGGTTGGAAGTTTAAATTTTGGAATTAACATTAGGGCTCAGTGATTAATTGCTATGTAAGCCTAGTTAGGTTCGTTCTAGAGAAAAGTAACGGATGCAGTTAAAGGCCTCATGATCCCGCCAGTCAAGACCTATAGGGATGATCTCTGGACGCTCTCCTTTGCCCCACCGCTTTTTTCACCTAAAAAAATAAAAATCTTACACGGTTGCGCACTCCATATTGGGAAAATAGAATCTGAAAGATAAAGTAAACAGATGAGTGAGATGCGGATTAGGTTGCTTTATTCAGATGATTCGCGCTCATTTATGAAAAAAACATAACGCGGAAGGTAGCAATGCATCATTCCCAAGATACAATAGCTCAGCTTATTGACTATTACTTCACTCAGATCTGGACAACCTTTCAATATTGCCTGAAAACTTATGCAGCAGTAGAGAGAATGTAGTAGATATTTATGTTGTATATTTTTTATACTAAAATATGTATATATATATATATATATTGTAATTACTCTCATATTTAAACGGATAATAACTAATGAGAAATAGTTGTCGAAAAACTTGTCGTTAGAAATTGAATTTAAATAATTAAACAAAATATTAAAAAATAGGTTTAATACTAATTAATATTTTATTTCATTTAGGCGAGCCAGGGGGTGTGGACTAGGCTGGCAAGTGTTTCGTAAATTCTGTATCTTTGCTATTTGTCCAACACCTGTACACATGAGAGTTTCAAGATCTCATTTTAACTCAAAAGTTAGATAACATTATTATATATATATATACTAAAATATTTTTAAAAAAATTTAGTCGATGTGAGATTAAATTCTCACATAAAAAATATTATTTAATTTAAAATACTCTAACACTCCAAATATTGACTAGCGTAAGAATCTGAATTATAATGGGAACTTTCACATTCTGCTAGCTTCACAATCTGTAACGAGACAAGTAATATAGATCATTGGGCATATTGAACCAATAGTCCATGATGTTTATTATTTATAGGACTTTGGTTGTTAAAGTTTTAAATCCGTCAAATTAATCTTCTAAGTTCAAACATTGAATTAGCATTGTCTAGCGCACTAATTATTGCTTAAAGATACAAGAATTTTTTCGTTGTACCTCTAACTATTATAGTTTTTACATTACATTTTTAATGTATTAGAAGTATTATAATGTAACTCTTTCATTAGCTTTCATTTATTATTTTGTAAAAAAATTAATTCATTGATGCTGACGGAATGGGCAACGAAAACTAACAGAAAGATCACATCACAACATTTTTAATACATTAAAAATAAAATATAAAAAATTAAAAAAAAATCAGTCACACTCTTTCTAATTTATCATATCTTCAGGGACAATCCCTATTTTCTGAATCTTCACTAACACCCCTAATCAAATTAATGACGTTCACTAAAATGCAACTTTATAAAATTGTTCATAATATATTTTTAAAAAAAACTTAATGCCCACCCCTCTAGATAGACATATATTCAATAAGACCCTCTCTATTTTTTTTAATATTTTTACGTATTAAAATTCAAGTTGAACTAATTAAAATTTATTTTTTACGTATCAGAATTTGAGTTAATTAAAATTTATTTATTTGTATGTATTAAAATTCAAGCCGATTAATTAGATCGAATCAAATTTTAATCAACTCACATTGAATTTTAATCGGCCCGAATTTTGATACATAAAAAAATATAAATTTTAATCAACTTAAATCGAATTTTAATCGACGTTATCTGCTAAGGTTGCTTTTAAATCGGTTTGAATTTTAATAAGTAAAAAAAAATTAATAGATTCGAATTTTAATACATTAAAAAATAAAATTTAATCAACTCGGTCAAATTTTAATTTTCTTAAATTTTAATATTTAGAAAAATAAATTTTAATCAATTCAAATTTTAATATGTAAAAAAAAATTAATTGGTTCAAATTTTAATCAAATTTTATGTAAAAAAAATTATTTTTGGGTTATGTAGGGGTAATATTTGTATTTTTGATAATTTTTTTTATTAAAAATAATGGTTTAATGGTACGAAGTGTCACTGATGTTTAAATACAAACTAAAAATGGTATCAGTGATGTTTCGAATACTAAAATAAGTATCTTTGAAGATATAGTAAATTCAAAAAGGTGTGTCCAAATTTTTAAAAAATAATTAAATCTTTGAGGGTTTAAAATAAAAATTTTTAAATCTTTTAAGGTACATGATATAATTCTTCCTATTTAATGCCCAATTCAAAACTTAATTTTATGGATTAATTAATTGTTTTTGAATCGATGCACAAGTCCCCCAATAGGCAAGACTTACCGACGAAGGTGGAATAAAACGTGTGTCAAAATTGCCAAAAGCGTAGTTCCCAAGCTTGTTTCCTTGCAGGCGACGTTTCGAATCTCTCTCTCTCTCTCCCCTCTGGTGTGGCTATTTAACTTCCGGTTTCTCACACCCCAATCTTAAGTCACACACACTCGAGCAAATTTCCGAGTTCTGATTTCCATTTTCGGATTCCAATCTCAAATAATCTGAAAATGTTTGGCTTCTCAGAAATGCAATCATCGGCGTCGACTCTGTTCTCGGCATACGCCTCTCTTGCCGCGTCGATGATGTTAGTCCGATCAATGGCCAACGAGATCATCCCCAATCCAGTCCGATCCTACATCCAATCGGCGATTCACTACCTCTTCACTCCTCTCTCCACTCAGCTCACCGTTATCGTCGACGAGCACTGCGGACTCACTCGTAATCAAGTCTACGAAGCCGCAGAGATATACCTCGGCACCAAAATCAGCCCCAACGCTGAGCGATTCAAAGTTCACAAAACTCCGAGACAGAAAAACCTCAACATCAGCATCCAGAAAAACGAAGAGGTAGACGATACCCACCAGAACGTTCAGCTGAAATGGAGATTCGTCTCCGTTGAGCCTCAGGACCGGCATACTGGAGAAAAAAGATTCTTCGAGCTCACTTTTGACAAGAAATTCAAAGAAAAAGTGTTGAGCGAGTACTTACCCTTTGTTCTGGCTAAGTACAAGGAGATAAAGGATAATGACAAGGAAGTGAAGCTCTATGCCATGAATTGTCTATACGATTATGATGAGGGTGGGGGAGGTGGGGTTTGGGGTTCGGTCAAGTTGGAGCATCCGTCGACGTTTGAGACTCTTGCGATGGATAAAGAGATGAAGAAGGCGATAATCGATGATTTAGAGAGATTTGTGAAGAGAAAAGAGTTTTACAAGAAGGTTGGGAGGGCTTGGAAGAGGGGGTACTTGTTGTATGGGCCTCCTGGGACTGGGAAATCGAGCTTGATTGCGGCGATGGCGAATTATTTGAAGTTTGATATATATGATTTAGAGCTTACAAATTTGTACTCGAACTCGGAATTGAGGAGGATTTTGGTGT